ACCCTGACCCTGATTACAGGCGGGCCGACGACACCCACGGAGCCACGGAGCTCGGTTTCCCCCACAGCAGCGGGAACGACTCTCAGCAGCCAGGCAGCGGGGCAGCACGGCCAAAGGCCGCGCTCGGGATCCAAGCCCCGAGTCCACAAAGGGAGCAAGCCCAGCCCCACACCTCACAGCCCAACGCCTCTGAAAGGACGGGGCCAGAGATACCCACCTGAGTACAGGGGGTTCCTCAGAACACATCTCCCCAAGAACAGGGGGCACAGGCAGCCCTGCCTACAGGACGGCACCCCACACCACAACACACCACCTCCAAAAAAGCCCCACGGAGCACACAGCTCCCGCCAGCGCCCGAAGGACGGGCCGGCCCGCCCGGCTGCACCACCACACCACACCACATCTTCGCAAACCCAGGGAGCAACCTCGACCCACACAGCGGGGAGGTCGCCCCACCTTCAAGCAGCACCTCAACCTGCACCCTCTAACGGGCCAGGGAGGGGTCATTCCCACAAGCTGGCTAAAGCAGCCGACTGCAACACTGCAGCCACCCCAGACCTGCTTACAGGAGGGCGGGCTGCTCTGGGGACAGACAGGGAGCTTCCCAGGGATCGTGACACACACCCCGAGTACAGGGCTGCCACGCTGACACATCGCCAGCAGGACAGGCGGCCGCGCAGGCACGGACCCAAGCCCTGGCTACAGGGCGGCCTCAGCCTCAGAACTACCGCGCTAGCTCTGCTCTGCCCTAAGCAAAAAAAATAAAAAGGGGCAAGACACGAGGACACTCGCTCCACTCGTGGGACTGAGCGGGAACACCCCGCTTGCTGCACGCATCGAGTCCTCCGTTCCCCCCTGGGAAGCCTAAGCTTGGCTGCAGCTATTTTCAGGGAGGCCTGAAGGAAAAGCTCACTCTCTCGTCACCCACGCAAACGCAAGCAAGGAAAGGAAGGGGACGCAAACACACAGGTACAACTTTCCAGAAGGGAAGGAGAACGCTGCGCAGAAAAAAAACCTGGGCAAAAAATCTAAAAACCCACGAGCAGCAGACAAGAGCCTCTGACCCGCCCCCAGGCTGCACGGAGGCCACGGGCCTCAACATGCCAAGGGGCTTCCCAGGTGGCCAAGGGACAAGTGGCGGTGACACACAGCCCCGAGTACAGGGCCGTCACGCTGGAGGTCACCAGCAGGCAACCGTGCCGAGCGGCGGGACCGAGAGTGGCAGGGAAAGGGCGCTACCCTGCTTACAGGGGGCCCTCGGGGTCCAGCGAGCTCCGTTTCCCACTCAGGTGCGGAGAAGTGGCTCTCGCCCTCCGTACAGGGGGCCACACTCCCCGGGCAGCCAAAAGGAGCAACAAGGCAAAAGGCCAACTACAGCAAAGACCCGAGCCCTGGTTGCAGGGAGGTCGCCCAGCACAAAGCCGGCCTGGTTACCCAAGGGGCCGGCAACGCTCTACAGTTATGTGACATGCTTTTGCCCAGGGAGCCTCTCCCTTTGCCCCTCCGTAGTCGTCGTCTTCCTTCCTCTTCTTCCTCACGCTTGCCTCGGAGCTCCACATCCCGCCGCTTCTTTCTTCACCAGCAGGTCCTGAAGGTCCTGAAGGAGGAGCCCGTCAGACCCGAGGACCACCAATTCCCCCACCACCTGCAAGAAGGGGCCAAGCCAACTCCCCAGGGGCCCTCCGCACATCGCCACCCAGCCCAGGACGACCCCGCATCCCCCACCCCCACATCTTGGTCCCACCAAGAACCAACTTCAAGCAGCTCTTCCTCACCACACTGACACGCCGCGGAGGTCCATGCGGCGCTGCTGCAGGGCGCAGAGTCGGGCTGCCTGGGCAAAGGGAGCTGGGCACGCAAAGCGGCGGACAAAGAGTCGGCTCCACCCCCGCTTACAGGGGGGCCGCAGCCACCGCTTCCATTGCAAAGCGCCTGGGACCCAGCACCAGGCCCTTACTTACAGGGCAGCCGTGGTCCCAAAGGCCGAGGGAGGCTCCTTCACTCCCGGTCGGGGGCACCTTGACCTGCACCCCGCTAACAGGGCGGTCACCCCACACAGGCTGCCAGCAGAGCACAAAGGCTCCCACACCCTGACCCTGATTACAGGCGGGCCGACGACACCCACGGAGCCACGGAGCTCGGTTTCCCCCACAGCAGCGGGAACGACTCTCAGCAGCCAGGCAGCGGGGCAGCACGGCCAAAGGCCGCGCTCGGGATCCAAGCCCCGAGTCCACAAAGGGAGCAAGCCCAGCCCCACACCTCACAGCCCAACGCCTCTGAAAGGACGGGGCCAGAGATACCCACCTGAGTACAGGGGGTTCCTCAGAACACATCTCCCCAAGAACAGGGGGCACAGGCAGCCCTGCCTACAGGACGGCACCCCACACCACAACACACCACCTCCAAAAAAGCCCCACGGAGCACACAGCTCCCGCCAGCGCCCGAAGGACGGGCCGGCCCGCCCGGCTACACCACCACACCACACCACATCTTCGCAAACCCAGGGAGCAACCTCGACCCACACAGCGGGGAGGTCGCCCCACCTTCAAGCAGCACCTCAACCTGCACCCTCTAACGGGCCAGGGAGGGGTCATTCCCACAAGCTGGCTAAAGCAGCCGACTGCAACACTGCAGCCACCCCAGACCTGCTTACAGGAGGGCGGGCTGCTCTGGGGACAGACAGGGAGCTTCCCAGGGATCGTGACACACACCCCGAGTACAGGGCTGACACATCGCCAGCAGGACAGGCGGCCGCGCAGGCACGGACCCAAGCCCTGGCTACAGGGCGGCCTCAGCCTCAGAACTACCGCGCTAGCTCTGCTCTGCCCTAAGCAAAAAAAATAAAAAGGGGCAAGACACGAGGACACTCGCTCCACTCGTGGGACTGAGCGGGAACACCCCGCTTGCTGCACGCATCGAGTCCTCCGTTCCCCCCTGGGAAGCCTAAGCTTGGCTGCAGCTATTTTCAGGGAGGCCTGAAGGAAAAGCTCACTCTCTCGTCACCCACGCAAACGCAAGCAAGGAAAGGAAGGGGACGCAAACACACAGGTACAACTTTCCAGAAGGGAAGGAGAACGCTGCGCAGAAAAAAAACCTGGGCAAAAAATCTAAAAACCCACGAGCAGCAGACAAGAGCCTCTGACCCGCCCCCAGGCTGCACGGAGGCCACGGGCCTCAACATGCCAAGGGGCTTCCCAGGTGGCCAAGGGACAAGTGGCGGTGACACACAGCCCCGAGTACAGGGCCGTCACGCTGGAGGTCACCAGCAGGCAACCGTGCCGAGCGGCGGGACCGAGAGTGGCAGGGAAAGGGCGCTACCCTGCTTACAGGGGGCCCTCGGGGTCCAGCGAGCTCCGTTTCCCACTCAGGTGCGGAGAAGTGGCTCTCGCCCTCCGTACAGGGGGCCACACTCCCCGGGCAGCCAAAAGGAGCAACAAGGCAAAAGGCCAACTACAGCAAAGACCCGAGCCCTGGTTGCAGGGAGGTCGCCCAGCACAAAGCCGGCCTGGTTACCCAAGGGGCCGGCAACGCTCTACAGTTATGTGACATGCTTTTGCCCAGGGAGCCTCTCCCTTTGCCCCTCCGTAGTCGTCGTCTTCCTTCCTCTTCTTCCTCACGCTTGCCTCGGAGCTCCACATCCCGCCGCTTCTTTCTTCACCAGCAGGTCCTGAAGGTCCTGAAGGAGGAGCCCGTCAGACCCGAGGACCACCAATTCCCCCACCACCTGCAAGAAGGGGCCAAGCCAACTCCCCAGGGGCCCTCCGCACATCGCCACCCAGCCCAGGACGACCCCGCATCCCCCACCCCCACATCTTGGTCCCACCAAGAACCAACTTCAAGCAGCTCTTCCTCACCACACTGACACGCCGCGGAGGTCCATGCGGCGCTGCTGCAGGGCGCAGAGTCGGGCTGCCTGGGCAAAGGGAGCTGGGCACGCAAAGCGGCGGACAAAGAGTCGGCTCCACCCCCGCTTACAGGGGGGCCGCAGCCACCGCTTCCATTGCAAAGCGCCTGGGACCCAGCACCAGGCCCTTACTTACAGGGCAGCCGTGGTCCCAAAGGCCGAGGGAGGCTCCTTCACTCCCGGTCGGGGGCACCTTGACCTGCACCCCGCTAACAGGGCGGTCACCCCACACAGGCTGCCAGCAGAGCACAAAGGCTCCCACACCCTGACCCTGATTACAGGCGGGCCGACGACACCCACGGAGCCACGGAGCTCGGTTTCCCCCACAGCAGCGGGAACGACTCTCAGCAGCCAGGCAGCGGGGCAGCACGGCCAAAGGCCGCGCTCGGGATCCAAGCCCCGAGTCCACAAAGGGAGCAAGCCCAGCCCCACACCTCACAGCCCAACGCCTCTGAAAGGACGGGGCCAGAGATACCCACCTGAGTACAGGGGGTTCCTCAGAACACATCTCCCCAAGAACAGGGGGCACAGGCAGCCCTGCCTACAGGACGGCACCCCACACCACAACACACCACCTCCAAAAAAGCCCCACGGAGCACACAGCTCCCGCCAGCGCCCGAAGGACGGGCCGGCCCGCCCGGCTACACCACCACACCACACCACATCTTCGCAAACCCAGGGAGCAACCTCGACCCACACAGCGGGGAGGTCGCCCCACCTTCAAGCAGCACCTCAACCTGCACCCTCTAACGGGCCAGGGAGGGGTCATTCCCACAAGCTGGCTAAAGCAGCCGACTGCAACACTGCAGCCACCCCAGACCTGCTTACAGGAGGGCGGGCTGCTCTGGGGACAGACAGGGAGCTTCCCAGGGATCGTGACACACACCCCGAGTACAGGGCTGCCACGCTGACACATCGCCAGCAGGACAGGCGGCCGCGCAGGCACGGACCCAAGCCCTGGCTACAGGGCGGCCTCAGCCTCAGAACTACCGCGCTAGCTCTGCTCTGCCCTAAGCAAAAAAAATAAAAAGGGGCAAGACACGAGGACACTCGCTCCACTCGTGGGACTGAGCGGGAACACCCCGCTTGCTGCACGCATCGAGTCCTCCGTTCCCCCCTGGGAAGCCTAAGCTTGGCTGCAGCTATTTTCAGGGAGGCCTGAAGGAAAAGCTCACTCTCTCGTCACCCACGCAAACGCAAGCAAGGAAAGGAAGGGGACGCAAACACACAGGTACAACTTTCCAGAAGGGAAGGAGAACGCTGCGCAGAAAAAAAACCTGGGCAAAAAATCTAAAAACCCACGAGCAGCAGACAAGAGCCTCTGACCCGCCCCCAGGCTGCACGGAGGCCACGGGCCTCAACATGCCAAGGGGCTTCCCAGGTGGCCAAGGGACAAGTGGCGGTGACACACAGCCCCGAGTACAGGGCCGTCACGCTGGAGGTCACCAGCAGGCAACCGTGCCGAGCGGCGGGACCGAGAGTGGCAGGGAAAGGGCGCTACCCTGCTTACAGGGGGCCCTCGGGGTCCAGCGAGCTCCGTTTCCCACTCAGGTGCGGAGAAGTGGCTCTCGCCCTCCGTACAGGGGGCCACACTCCCCGGGCAGCCAAAAGGAGCAACAAGGCAAAAGGCCAACTACAGCAAAGACCCGAGCCCTGGTTGCAGGGAGGTCGCCCAGCACAAAGCCGGCCTGGTTACCCAAGGGGCCGGCAACGCTCTACAGTTATGTGACATGCTTTTGCCCAGGGAGCCTCTCCCTTTGCCCCTCCGTAGTCGTCGTCTTCCTTCCTCTTCTTCCTCACGCTTGCCTCGGAGCTCCACATCCCGCCGCTTCTTTCTTCACCAGCAGGTCCTGAAGGTCCTGAAGGAGGAGCCCGTCAGACCCGAGGACCACCAATTCCCCCACCACCTGCAAGAAGGGGCCAAGCCAACTCCCCACGGGCCCTCCGCACATCGCCACCCAGCCCAGGACGACCCCGCATCCCCCACCCCCACATCTTGGTCCCACCAAGAACCAACTTCAAGCAGCTCTTCCTCACCACACTGACACGCCGCGGAGGTCCATGCGGCGCTGCTGCAGGGCGCAGAGTCGGGCTGCCTGGGCAAAGGGAGCTGGGCACGCAAAGCGGCGGACAAAGAGTCGGCTCCACCCCCGCTTACAGGGGGGCCGCAGCCACCGCTTCCATTGCAAAGCGCCTGGGACCCAGCACCAGGCCCTTACTTACAGGGCAGCCGTGGTCCCAAAGGCCGAGGGAGGCTCCTTCACTCCCGGTCGGGGGCACCTTGACCTGCACCCCGCTAACAGGGCGGTCACCCCACACAGGCTGCCAGCAGAGCACAAAGGCTCCCACACCCTGACCCTGATTACAGGCGGGCCGACGACACCCACGGAGCCACGGAGCTCGGTTTCCCCCACAGCAGCGGGAACGACTCTCAGCAGCCAGGCAGCGGGGCAGCACGGCCAAAGGCCGCGCTCGGGATCCAAGCCCCGAGTCCACAAAGGGAGCAAGCCCAGCCCCACACCTCACAGCCCAACGCCTCTGAAAGGACGGGGCCAGAGATACCCACCTGAGTACAGGGGGTTCCTCAGAACACATCTCCCCAAGAACAGGGGGCACAGGCAGCCCTGCCTACAGGACGGCACCCCACACCACAACACACCACCTCCAAAAAAGCCCCACGGAGCACACAGCTCCCGCCAGCGCCCGAAGGACGGGCCGGCCCGCCCGGCTGCACCACCACACCACATCTTCGCAAACCCAGGGAGCAACCTCGACCCACACAGCGGGGAGGTCGCCCCACCTTCAAGCAGCACCTCAACCTGCACCCTCTAACGGGCCAGGGAGGGGTCATTCCCACAAGCTGGCTAAAGCAGCCGACTGCAACACTGCAGCCACCCCAGACCTGCTTACAGGAGGGCGGGCTGCTCTGGGGACAGACAGGGAGCTTCCCAGGGATCGTGACACACACCCCGAGTACAGGGCTGACACATCGCCAGCAGGACAGGCGGCCGCGCAGGCACGGACCCAAGCCCTGGCTACAGGGCGGCCTCAGCCTCAGAACTACCGCGCTAGCTCTGCTCTGCCCTAAGCAAAAAAAATAAAAAGGGGCAAGACACGAGGACACTCGCTCCACTCGTGGGACTGAGCGGGAACACCCCGCTTGCTGCACGCATCGAGTCCTCCGTTCCCCCCTGGGAAGCCTAAGCTTGGCTGCAGCTATTTTCAGGGAGGCCTGAAGGAAAAGCTCACTCTCTCGTCACCCACGCAAACGCAAGCAAGGAAAGGAAGGGGACGCAAACACACAGGTACAACTTTCCAGAAGGGAAGGAGAACGCTGCGCAGAAAAAAAACCTGGGCAAAAAATCTAAAAACCCACGAGCAGCAGACAAGAGCCTCTGACCCGCCCCCAGGCTGCACGGAGGCCACGGGCCTCAACATGCCAAGGGGCTTCCCAGGTGGCCAAGGGACAAGTGGCGGTGACACACAGCCCCGAGTACAGGGCCGTCACGCTGGAGGTCACCAGCAGGCAACCGTGCCGAGCGGCGGGACCGAGAGTGGCAGGGAAAGGGCGCTACCCTGCTTACAGGGGGCCCTCGGGGTCCAGCGAGCTCCGTTTCCCACTCAGGTGCGGAGAAGTGGCTCTCGCCCTCCGTACAGGGGGCCACACTCCCCGGGCAGCCAAAAGGAGCAACAAGGCAAAAGGCCAACTACAGCAAAGACCCGAGCCCTGGTTGCAGGGAGGTCGCCCAGCACAAAGCCGGCCTGGTTACCCAAGGGGCCGGCAACGCTCTACAGTTATGTGACATGCTTTTGCCCAGGGAGCCTCTCCCTTTGCCCCTCCGTAGTCGTCGTCTTCCTTCCTCTTCTTCCTCACGCTTGCCTCGGAGCTCCACATCCCGCCGCTTCTTTCTTCACCAGCAGGTCCTGAAGGTCCTGAAGGAGGAGCCCGTCAGACCCGAGGACCACCAATTCCCCCACCACCTGCAAGAAGGGGCCAAGCCAACTCCCCAGGGGCCCTCCGCACATCGCCACCCAGCCCAGGACGACCCCGCATCCCCCACCCCCACATCTTGGTCCCACCAAGAACCAACTTCAAGCAGCTCTTCCTCACCACACTGACACGCCGCGGAGGTCCATGCGGCGCTGCTGCAGGGCGCAGAGTCGGGCTGCCTGGGCAAAGGGAGCTGGGCACGCAAAGCGGCGGACAAAGAGTCGGCTCCACCCCCGCTTACAGGGGGGCCGCAGCCACCGCTTCCATTGCAAAGCGCCTGGGACCCAGCACCAGGCCCTTACTTACAGGGCAGCCGTGGTCCCAAAGGCCGAGGGAGGCTCCTTCACTCCCGGTCGGGGGCACCTTGACCTGCACCCCGCTAACAGGGCGGTCACCCCACACAGGCTGCCAGCAGAGCACAAAGGCTCCCACACCCTGACCCTGATTACAGGCGGGCCGACGACACCCACGGAGCCACGGAGCTCGGTTTCCCCCACAGCAGCGGGAACGACTCTCAGCAGCCAGGCAGCGGGGCAGCACGGCCAAAGGCCGCGCTCGGGATCCAAGCCCCGAGTCCACAAAGGGAGCAAGCCCAGCCCCACACCTCACAGCCCAACGCCTCTGAAAGGACGGGGCCAGAGATACCCACCTGAGTACAGGGGGTTCCTCAGAACACATCTCCCCAAGAACAGGGGGCACAGGCAGCCCTGCCTACAGGACGGCACCCCACACCACAACACACCACCTCCAAAAAAGCCCCACGGAGCACACAGCTCCCGCCAGCGCCCGAAGGACGGGCCGGCCCGCCCGGCTACACCACCACACCACACCACATCTTCGCAAACCCAGGGAGCAACCTCGACCCACACAGCGGGGAGGTCGCCCCACCTTCAAGCAGCACCTCAACCTGCACCCTCTAACGGGCCAGGGAGGGGTCATTCCCACAAGCTGGCTAAAGCAGCCGACTGCAACACTGCAGCCACCCCAGACCTGCTTACAGGAGGGCGGGCTGCTCTGGGGACAGACAGGGAGCTTCCCAGGGATCGTGACACACACCCCGAGTACAGGGCTGCCACGCTGACACATCGCCAGCAGGACAGGCGGCCGCGCAGGCACGGACTCAAGCCCTGGCTACAGGGCAGCCTCAGCCTCAGAACTACCGCGCTAGCTCTGCTCTGCCCTAAGCAAAAAAAATAAAAAGGGGCAAGACACGAGGACACTCGCTCCACTCGTGGGACTGAGCGGGAACACCCCGCTTGCTGCACGCATCGAGTCCTCCGTTCCCCCCTGGGAAGCCTAAGCTTGGCTGCAGCTATTTTCAGGGAGGCCTGAAGGAAAAGCTCACTCTCTCGTCACCCACGCAAACGCAAGCAAGGAAAGGAAGGGGACGCAAACACACAGGTACAACTTTCCAGAAGGGAAGGAGAACGCTGCGCAGAAAAAAAACCTGGGCAAAAAATCTAAAAACCCACGAGCAGCAGACAAGAGCCTCTGACCCGCCCCCAGGCTGCACGGAGGCCACGGGCCTCAACATGCCAAGGGGCTTCCCAGGTGGCCAAGGGACAAGTGGCGGTGACACACAGCCCCAAGTACAGGGCCGTCACGCTGGAGGTCACCAGCAGGCAACCGTGCCAAGCGGCGGGACCGAGAGTGGCAGGGAAAGGGCGCTACCCTGCTTACAGGGGGCCCTCGGGGTCCAGCGAGCTCCGTTTCCCACTCAGGTGCGGAGAAGCGGCTCTCGCCCTCCGTACAGGGGGCCACACTCCCCGGGCAGCCAAAAGGAGCAACAAGGCAAAAGGCCAACTACAGCAAAGACCCGAGCCCTGGTTGCAGGGAGGTCGCCCAGCACAAAGCCGGCCTGGTTACCCAAGGGGCCGGCAACGCTCTACAGTTATGTGACATGCTTTTGCCCAGGGAGCCTCTCCCTTTGCCCCTCCGTAGTCGTCGTCTTCCTTCCTCTTCTTCCTCACGCTTGCCTCGGAGCTCCACATCCCGCCGCTTCTTTCTTCACCAGCAGGTCCTGAAGGTCCTGAAGGAGGAGCCCGTCAGACCCGAGGACCACCAATTCCCCCACCACCTGCAAGAAGGGGCCAAGCCAACTCCCCAGGGGCCCTCCGCACATCGCCACCCAGCCCAGGACGACCCCGCATCCCCCACCCCCACATCTTGGTCCCACCAAGAACCAACTTCAAGCAGCTCTTCCTCACCACACTGACACGCCGCGGAGGTCCATGCGGCGCTGCTGCAGGGCGCAGAGTCGGGCTGCCTGGGCAAAGGGAGCTGGGCACGCAAAGCGGCGGACAAAGAGTCGGCTCCACCCCCGCTTACAGGGGGGCCGCAGCCACCGCTTCCATTGCAAAGCGCCTGGGACCCAGCACCAGGCCCTTACTTACAGGGCAGCCGTGGTCCCAAAGGCCGAGGGAGGCTCCTTCACTCCCGGTCGGGGGCACCTTGACCTGCACCCCGCTAACAGGGCGGTCACCCCACACAGGCTGCCAGCAGAGCACAAAGGCTCCCACACCCTGACCCTGATTACAGGCGGGCCGACGACACCCACGGAGCCACGGAGCTCGGTTTCCCCCACAGCAGCGGGAACGACTCTCAGCAGCCAGGCAGCGGGGCAGCACGGCCAAAGGCCGCGCTCGGGATCCAAGCCCCGAGTCCACAAAGGGAGCAAGCCCAGCCCCACACCTCACAGCCCAACGCCTCTGAAAGGACGGGGCCAGAGATACCCACCTGAGTACAGGGGGTTCCTCAGAACACATCTCCCCAAGAACAGGGGGCACAGGCAGCCCTGCCTACAGGACGGCACCCCACACCACAACACACCACCTCCAAAAAAGCCCCACGGAGCACACAGCTCCCGCCAGCGCCCAAAGGACGGGCCGGCCCGCCCGGCTGCACCACCACACCACATCTTCGCAAACCCAGGGAGCAACCTCGACCCACACAGCGGGGAGGTCGCCCCACCTTCAAGCAGCACCTCAACCTGCACCCTCTAACGGGCCAGGGAGGGGTCATTCCCACAAGCTGGCTAAAGCAGCCGACTGCAACACTGCAGCCACCCCAGACCTGCTTACAGGAGGGTGGGCTGCTCTGGGGACAGACAGGGAGCTTCCCAGGGATCGTGACACACACCCCGAGTACAGGGCTGACACATCGCCAGCAGGACAGGCGGCCGCGCAGGCACGGACCCAAGCCCTGGCTACAGGGCGGCCTCAGCCTCAGAACTACCGCGCTAGCTCTGCTCTGCCCTAAGCAAAAAAAATAAAAAGGGGCAAGACACGAGGACACTCGCTCCACTCGTGGGACTGAGCGGGAACACCCCGCTTGCTGCACGCATCGAGTCCTCCGTTCCCCCCTGGGAAGCCTAAGCTTGGCTGCAGCTATTTTCAGGGAGGCCTGAAGGAAAAGCTCACTCTCTCGTCACCCACGCAAACGCAAGCAAGGAAAGGAAGGGGACGCAAACACACAGGTACAACTTTCCAGAAGGGAAGGAGAACGCTGCGCAGAAAAAAAACCTGGGCAAAAAATCTAAAAACCCACGAGCAGCAGACAAGAGCCTCTGACCCGCCCCCAGGCTGCACGGAGGCCACGGGCCTCAACATGCCAAGGGGCTTCCCAGGTGGCCAAGGGACAAGTGGCGGTGACACACAGCCCCGAGTACAGGGCCGTCACGCTGGAGGTCACCAGCAGGCAACCGTGCCGAGCGGCGGGACCGAGAGTGGCAGGGAAAGGGCGCTACCCTGCTTACAGGGGGCCCTCGGGGTCCAGCGAGCTCCGTTTCCCACTCAGGTGCGGAGAAGTGGCTCTCGCCCTCCGTACAGGGGGCCACACTCCCCGGGCAGCCAAAAGGAGCAACAAGGCAAAAGGCCAACTACAGCAAAGACCCGAGCCCTGGTTGCAGGGAGGTCGCCCAGCACAAAGCCGGCCTGGTTACCCAAGGGGCCGGCAACGCTCTACAGTTATGTGACATGCTTTTGCCCAGGGAGCCTCTCCCTTTGCCCCTCCGTAGTCGTCGTCTTCCTTCCTCTTCTTCCTCACGCTTGCCTCGGAGCTCCACATCCCGCCGCTTCTTTCTTCACCAGCAGGTCCTGAAGGTCCTGAAGGAGGAGCCCGTCAGACTCGAGGACCACCAATTTCCCCATCTGAATTTGACTGGAATGTAACTTTTTTTTTTCTGGTAGCATTGCTGCCTATTTACAGGTACTTTTTTTTTTTTTTTTTTTTTTTAAATCATTTTCTTTTATTGTCCTCCTCAGCATAGTTTCAGCATTTCTCTCTGTCCCCTCAGCCCCACTCTGTTGGCATCGGTATGGCACTTCTGTTTTTTTCTTCATATGCTCCTGAGCATGGTAACCATAGTTTTTTCACTTGTGTTTCAGGACACTTTCTCTATGTCATATCAGCACTGGAAATGTATTTTTCTCTCTCTTCTTAGGCACTCCTCAGCGCACCAGTAACTTTCATTTTTTTCTGCTCTTGAGGCAATCTCACTTCCTCCCCCCCCCACTTCTTTTATGTGCAGGTACAGCGCCTATTTTACTCTCCTTACGTGCAATCCAACAGCCAAAGAACAGCCTCTTTCTCTCCCTCTTCCCCCCCCCGCCCCCTCCCCTTTCCTCCTGACATCTTCCCCCCCCTTCCCCCACCCTCCTCGTGCGTCCCGTCAGCGCCTCCTCTCACGCGCTCCTCATTTTTCCTCACTTCGCTCACGCGCCTCTTGTCTCGCGCCGCCCTTCAGCGCGGGGACGGCATTTCTCTCTCTCTCCCCCCACCCCCGTAAGAGCTCGAGAACGGCATTTCTCTTCCCCTTGATGCGCTCCTCCATAGTGAAAACAACATCTTTCTCTGGTCACGCGGTCCGGCCACGTCCCTTGCCCCCCTCCGCCAGCACCAGAACGCGGCATTTCTCTCCCTCCCCTCACGCCTCCTCAGCGCGGGAACCACATTTTTCTCGCTCCCCTCACGCATCCTTGTCTCGCGCCGCCCCCCCAGCCCGGGAACATTTCTCTCCCCCTCCTCCCCCCCCAAGAGGCGCCCCTCATCCCGGGAGCGGCATCTCTCCTTCCCCTCATGCGTTCCTCCATCGGGATAACCATGGTTTTCCTCCCTGTCCTCACGCCGTCCCGCTTCGCTCCTCGGTGTCGTAGCTACGTTTTTCTCACTCCTCTCCGCTCCCCTCCCCCACCCCTCAGCGCGGGATCGGCATTTCTCTTCCTCCCCTCACACATTCCCAGCCTGGGAACGGTGCATGCCTTCGCAACCCCCCCCCCCCCCCCCTCCACTCCTTGCCTCGCACCACCCTCCACCCCCCCTTACTTCACAACAGCGCCTACCTCTGCAACCTTCCCACAGCCCAGCAACAGCACCTGCTTCAGGACTCCTTAGCCTCCTTTACCTCCTTTAAGCCCGTAACATTTGGCTCTGCCACCCCTCAATCCACCATCCACCCTCTGCGATGCCAACTCGCACTTCCCTGCTCGATGTCGTCCTGTCCCGTAGCCTCCATCCCCAACTCGCACTTTCCTGCTCGGTGTCGTCCTGTCCCGTAGCCTCCATCCCTTCGAGCCCAGTGAGGATGACGCTTGTCCCCTTACCTCAGTCCAGAAGGCTTCATTGTGGCTTCTCGCTCAGAGCGCTCTCTTTCCCGCCACACTCTGAGAAGAACACCTGTGGCTCAAGTACCCGTCTGCGCGCCTTGTATAGGTGTCCCCACCGCCCGTCAGCCAATAGGAGCAAAGAATGCTGCTCTTGGTTTTCGCCTTTGTTGCATCCCGTTGCACCGTTCCCTCCTTTTCTACTTGGATGCGGTGGGCAGAGGTCATCTCATGGGCACGAGCCCTTCTGAGGCTTTACTGCCCATCCCCTCAGCGCAGGGCTGCCTCACAGGTGGTCTCACTTCATAAACCCAGCACCCAGTCCCAGCTGGTGCCGGACTCTGGTGTTTGTTTGCTTCGAGTGTTACACTGTCTTCTCAGGTCTCTACCTCTGTGGAGAAAATCCCTTCTGAACTTAGAAATATTGTTACAGAGAGAAAAATGTGGAAACAGCTGACGTCTGTTACCTCACCTCTTCTTTCAAACTCCCATCTCACCTGGTTTAAAGCTTAGCAGACAGATTGTATCTTATTGTAGTTTTAGGAATTTAATTTTCAGTTTCCACTTCTTTGACCACGCTGCAATGCCCAAGCAGCTTCACTGGGTAACAGCAAACAGGTGGGATCTGGGTGCAGCTGCTCCTCTTTCACCGGTTCATAGGTTCATGAACATAGTAAAGTAAACTACATTTCACGTTGAAGATGTTATGAAAATGAGTATTTTTAACTGTCTCTTTGTCCTGAGAAACACAAATAATTTAAAAAGTTTTATAGGAATAATTGAGAGAATAATTGTAAGTTTCCATGTGGAAGTTTTGCACCTACAAAGTGCACGTCCCACAGGTGAGGTCTGCACAACTACCTCGCTGCTCAAACGCACCAACCAGGGAAAATGTCTACAGATTTGAGTTGTTTGGTGGTTTATGGCTTGTTGTTTTTTTTTTTTTTGGTTTTTTTTGGTTTTTTTTTTTTCTGAAAATTGATTTTTTTTTTTTTTTAATTATTCCAATTGTCCTTTCCATCCGTATCTTGCATGCATATAAGCCAGCAGTGCTTGCAGAGAGCAGTCCTGACCCCAGCAGAACCCACCTGGCTGCTGCAGAGGCCCATTCAGTCACAGCTCTTTGCCTCTGCAGCTGATGTAACACACACACTCAACTCCATTTATTAATATAAATTAAGTACTAGGAGACAGTAGATTTTCACTAAAGGCCAATAGATACCCAAACTGAATTTAACAAAAGCTGTAAAAATAAAAGGATCCAACAACACATGACACAGCCAGCTGCTAATAGCATGCCCTGTTCTAAAGATTTTGATGATTTCATTATGTAAACAAGGGGAGATTGTTCCATCCTCAGAACTCCATCAAAAAACAAATAACCACAACTCAAACAAACTCAAATGAATTTTGAGCCTTATCGTCATAATTACTATTTTATCACTGTTGTTGTCTGAGTAGGATAGAGGAAATTGTGCTCCAGAAATTATTCCTTACTGGTTGTGATTTAAATTGGTTGATATTACTTAGCTTGCTACATGGCTGCAAATAAATTGCTTTAGTTTTCAGAAATTGGACGCAGATTCTTTACAACCACCATTTCCACTTGCCTGTTGCTCTGCTCTCTACTTAATTCAGAGACCTTAAACACCTGACCAAAAGCATATTGAAATATCCTTACTGATGCTACCAGAAAACTCAGGATCAAGCAGTATGCCCTCATTGGTTAGTATTACAATGATTGGAGCTGAAAAACTTTCAAATCTCTTCTCCCTAAACAAATTTTTAACCCTTAACTGTCTCTAATTCTGTAAGGTACTGAGCAGGGTTTGGTAGAACACGTAAACACACACTGATCTCTTTCTTACATGTCACTTCAGCTTTCTGTAGATCATTTCACAGTACAAACACCCAAGAAATACTATTCTATTTTTCTTTCTTCAGAAAGCTGTCAAACTGAGTTCCTTGTTATGAAGAAGATAAACACATATCACATCGAATATTTAGATGGAGCACAGGCATTTGGGACTGCTTCTGACTGATTTTAGTTTGGAACAGCCACTCTCCAAGCAACATGCGAGCCAGACCTGGAGCTATGTAAAACTGTGCTGCAGCAGTTCTTCATTATGTTGTCATGGATGCCCATAGTGTTTCAACAAATTTGATTAATTTATATTCAGAGGTTAATTTATATTCAGACACCATTGATTATAGGAATTTGGGACAGACTTTTGTTGTGAATTTAGCTGACAAAGGAGGTGATCTATTATAAATACTTTCATAAAGGAGGAAATTGTCTGATGGCTTGGGAAATTCAGAGGCATTGAAAGAATGCCTTTGGATTTATTCAAAGCCTTAGACGTGTACTCGCTTCTATTTTATTCCAGGATAAATTTTACCTTAATGATTCCGTGATTCTATAAGCCCATCCTCATGCCAACAGCCAAGCAGTGAGTCTTTCTTCTAAAAACGGAGGATCAAAGAATATCCCAAGCTGGAAGAGACCCACAGAGATCACCAAGTCCAATTCTTGGCTCCACACAACACACCCAAGCCCAGGTCTGGGAGCAGTGTCCAAACAATACTTGAGCTACAAAATCTTGGGTCTGTGCCCACTGTCATTCTGGAGGTTCTGTTCCATACCCACCACCTTCCAGTGCCAAACATTTCCCTAACCCCCACAAGCCATGTTCTGGATAGCCATGCAAAGCTGTCATACCATGAAATGAAATGTGTCTTGATCTGCTCATCTGTGCAAATTGGCTAATGGTGGTGACGATGTTGAAAAACAGTGTTTCATAGCTGAAAATTTGCTTTATCAAACAGTGTTATTGGTTCTTTTTCTATCTCTTACATGAAAATAAATACGAGGTGTATGGGAACTACTGAGTCACAGCCTGAACCTCTGATTGATCACTTGAGGTGAGCCATGAGTCAGCCAGAGGAGCACAGGTGAAGGCAATTCACCTGCGCTACCGGAAGGGGTGGAGCCAGGCTGCACCCCTCCTAGACCTATTTAAGAGCTGGCTACCTAGAGATCCCTCCTTTTGGTGTTTTGTGGTGAGCCCAGCATAAGGGTAAGCCTTCCATTTATTCTCTCTCGTTATCGTAGTCCATTTTGCTTAACTCTCTTGTTTATTATGTGATTGTAACTTGATATCCATTGATTATACAACAAGGCACTACCTTCAGAGCATGGAAGATTTCCACAGCTCCATAAGCATACTGAGAAGCTTATTAAAATAATAACAGCACATTTGTTAATAATTAATCGCTGGCATTAGCAGAGGGGCATTCAGCCAAAGATTCTGAAGTTCTTTCCAAATTTCACTGACCAAAATTGTAAACAGATAGAAACTGCCTAATCCATCACCACATATTGCCACCCTAGACAGCTATTTAATTGCTCACAGCAGAACAACTGCTTAGTAGCAATCAGATTGGTGCACAAAGCAAAGAATATGCGGCATAGCCATGAAAAAGTAGAAAGCAAACTGTAAGTGAAGGAGTGCATGTGTCATTCTAAGATGGTTTTGGTCATGTAAAAGTATCTCCACTCTTTTTGGGGGATCATTCATGAACCTTTTTCCAAGATGCAGTTTTGTGAGTCACTTCTGGTCAGATATATTAGCGCAGTGATGCAGAGAGAGGTGCATTGTATTCAGAATGACTGTTGGTTTGGTTTCCTTCTGAAGATTGACATTCATGCTAATCTTAACAATTTTTGGTGTTCCTTTTGTTGAAATACATTAAAAGCTGTTATAAGCCTCCTTTCAGATCTTCCAGAAAAACTTTGATTTGCATCCTGATTCCTTAATTTCATTTCTGCTCTCTGATTTCAGTGCCACTCTCCAAACTCCTGTAGCCCAAATCTCTGCTGACTGTGGAACACATCCTTGTGTCTAACTTACATACCTCTGTTGAATGCACAAGCAATGGTGGATGTTAATGCAGTTAAAGTTGTGAGTAAGTTGTAAGTTGTGAGTTTTTGACTGTATTTGCCTGGCTGTCTCAGTGCTGCTACATCTGACTGTATCTGAATATATAGGCAACTTCTCCATATTAAATAGAGGAAATTTATTTCTGTTATGAAATCACTCTCAAGAGTCCATTACTAATGAACCTTTCTTGTTTGTTTTTGAAGTTGTATCTATACAACTAGAATTAGTAATACACAATTACCAGAAAGTAATCACAGAATTATTATAAACAGTCTACAAAACATACTACAAATTAATATTCATGCATTCCTCTAATCTATTTGGAGCAAATGCATGAATCTGATCTAGAGTTCATCACAAAATCATAGTATCACCATGGGAAAGCAAGATATTATGTGGTTTAAAGGGAAAAGTCTTGTAAACCTTTTCACAGCTCTGGATTGGGCAAAGGAACTACTGTGGTTACTGAGGTACTAATCAACACTACTGGGAGTAAAAGAGAAGCTGCACCTAGATGTGCATTTATACAGAGATATGCACTGTTCAATCAGATGAGTGTAACTGACTCCACCAATGTTGTTTGGCAATGCCTATTGGCAGGAAGTCTAAGGATAAGCATAGCTAAAGGAGTGTGCTCATAATCTGCTATTGATAAACAGCCGTGTCTGTTTGTTACCATCTAATGCAGAAAGAAATAAATGAATTGGTAAAACTAGTGGCACGGATATTTATGTTCTGATACTCGTTCATAGTAAAATTCAGCTTGTTTGTTCTGCATAAATTACAGTTTTACTTATTCTTCAGACAATCAAGAATTGACCACTTGTCTGACATAAAAGTCAATTATTATACACCTGTAATGTATTCCTTTTTCATTCATATCAATGCTTCATTTTTATTAATCATGGAGCGACATCTAATTACTCATTTTTAGGTGGCCAGAGATCAGTTTTGTCATGGCTAAATGACCAGGAGAATAACTACAGTTAATAGTAGCTGAAAGAGTGAAACTCTTTCAGAATTGAGCAATGGAAAACCGAAAATTTAGAATTCAAGTTGAGATGACTGAAACTAAGACTAATTCCTAAAAATGTATGTTATGCACAAGATGGGTGATAAAGCTGATTTCTGTCTACCGTCATTTCTTAGAATTTGGGAGAAGAAGGAAGACAAAAATCACAGAAAACAGTGATGGTTTTAAAAATGATAGCTTTTAATAGTAAACTTACTGTAAGCATCATCATAGTTTCTATGTGCCCATTTCTGCAGATGTTCAAATAGCTAAGTTCCATAGAAATGAAGATAGAGGTCTACAAATGATTTTTAACCTACATATTTCAAGACAAAAAATCTGAAGTACTTCCACAAGACTCCAGTTTTAAGAACCTAGCTTGCTTGTGAGGACAGAGTTCTCAGATATGTGGCATTATGACTGCAAGATATGCTCACACAAGAGATCTTCAGTGTATTGTATCTAAGTCAGAGAAACCCTAATGAATCATGTTTGAGCCCCCCTGAGATGGCCATCATCCTGAGATAAGTCCACACAAAAGAGCACTTAATGGCTATTTAGCTGCAGCTCATCTCTCTCTCCTTGCCCCTGGTCTTGTCCATCTGTGTCTCCCAAAGGATCTCACAACCTTTGCCCGGGATTTGCCTGAACTTGTACAAGTCCATCTGTGTCCCCAGCAAACTTTGAGACACTGATGTTAACAGAATAATATCTTACAATTTCTTTTACATAGAAGAAATGAATTTTATTTAACAGATGCTCAGAAATTGTGCACATTGTGGTTTTTTGTTGTTATTGTTGTTATTCATTTACTTCCTTTCTCATTGCATATTATACTACATTGGGTACAGTGCTGTCTGTCGTCTTATGGTGTAGAAACACATCTGAAAGAATGATATGCACTCTATTTTGTAGAAACTGCATCAGAAATAAAGGACAAGCCTGGTTGCCTTCCTGCTGACTAAAGAAGTCTTTCCTGCCTCATATCAGTCTGTCTCTCAAACTGTGTTTCTTAAAAATAAAACAGGTTGTTCCCACTGAATAATATCTCCTCATGTAGAATAGACTCGATCATTAGAGATTTCAGCTAAAAAAGAGATAGATAGAGAACAAGCAAGAAAAGCTCATGTATTTTCCAAAGGCATTTTAACAAAGAATGTTCCAGTGAAGCAGAACGATGCTGAACATAAGACTGAAAGAACTGGAAGACATTTTCAGACACCAAGAGTTATAGAGGTAGATTTTTGCTTCATGGTTCTGAGGTGACAGAAAATTAGCTGATTGGACTACAAATCTATTTCATTTACCTGAGTCATCTTCTGTGAAAGATACATTGAAATATACATACAATAAAGTCATGTTTGACTACTCATATTCTTGTGTTTCTTTATGCAGATCTTTTTCATGCTTGATGACTAAGACTATTGAATATGATATTTGTATTTTTAAAGGTGTATTTGTAAGGCTTTATAACATTTGTGGAAAAAGTTGTTTAAATCTGGATTCTGCAGATTCTGCAGGAAAGCTAAAAACTCTGACCAAGAACTCAACAGCTGGTTAAAAATATTTGATGAGCATTGATTCTTCAAGAACCATCAGGTGTCTTGGTAGGAAGAACAATACAAATACAGATACAAAAAAAAAAAAAAGGATGTTATTTTTAGAAAGGTTGTTTTCAGTGAAGAGAGTAGAAGTCTTTTAGGAAGTCATCAAAATCTGATGTCAATGTGCCAATGATGATTTTTTTTTCTTCTAGGTCATTGAGGCAATCAGTTCAAGATACCTGATGAAGCATCCAAATGAAAACTTAAAGAATGAAATTTATGTTTATTGATGATGTCAGGAATGATAGTAAGAAATTACAACTATATAGAAAGGAAGACTAAGAAAAGAATGACTTAAGACATTCCAAAAGTAATGCCTTTTATTTATTTCCATATGAACAAATCAATATAGTCACAAGAATTAGCTATGCATTTTTACCAGCAATGACCAAAATCATGCATGCCATGACTGTAAATACCTCCACCAGAAGGGATGATCCACAGTTTCACAGCTGCCGTGCCAGCATCATTGCTGAATGCACCACTCACTGCATCAGTGTGCTAACATCCACTATTTGGTCCCCCAAAGGTTCAGCAAGCACTGATGAATGTTTTTGCACTATTGAATGAATGCTTTTTTTTTTTCTGGGTGGAGGAATTCAATGACACATCTTTGCTTTATAGGTACTTCAATGTCAGATATTTTGCCCCTCTGCAAACATCCATAATACAGAGAGAAAAAAAAAAAAAAAGTAACAGAATATTGGTGGGAAGGTTCAACTTCTACTGTCATACCACCAACATCCACCTCTAACATTGTGGGTCAATATAATAAAATAGGAGCCATTAATTTTGAAGAAGGACTCATTTACATCCAGAGATGCCACTGAGATACTTATGGTGACACTAAGTAAAAAAAAATCAAATGATGAAGTCTTTTTCTTATTCCTCATTGTTATTTTATTTTTATTTTATTTTAAATATTTTTTTTATTTTATTTTTTTTATTTTAAATATTTCTTATATTTCTAAATATTAAATATTTTTTATTTTAAATATTTCTTCCATTGAATGGAGAGGAATGTTTTAAACGTGAATACCTTCCCCCATTTTTCTTTCTGATTTAAAAAAGCATGTGATGATGTATCTTCTGCACTCAAATAAACTACAAATTTAACCTATAGGGAAATAGTAATTCCAGCCAACTTTTGAAAAACACGAAGTTTCAGATATTGAAATCCATTATTAATCTCACTGCTTTATGTGGATATTAGCAAAAGCAACCAAATACTGTCAATAACAGAGTATTGAGTCTTTTTTTGAGCCAAAAAATGAGTGAGACTGATGTTTTAAAGAGATAAGGAACTTATGGAAGGTCACTAAAGGGAAAGAATTATTAATAAGATAGATTAGGACAGTGGAAGAAAAACAAACTACGTATTTCAGTAAAGAACATTTTTCTGTGTTTGACCTTTGACCAAATACATATAAAGTGAAGGTGTAATAATGATCTTAGAGGAGATTTCTAGTGAAGAGGAGAGATAATCTTCTGTTAAAACAAGGTGAGGATGAGTGTGCCTCAGGATCTATATTGTATATTGTCCTTGTTTCAAGGACTTGGATCAAGTAGATTAGCATACCATTAAAATAAGTTGAGGTACTTAGAGAATGTGTCTCTACCCTATGACAGGACAACAGACTGGCTTTGAAAGGAATAAAGAAGATTTTGTGGAGAATTTAAAACTTGTAATGAGAGATAACTTCCTCAGTTGATAAATGTGTGCTGTGAAAGTGGTGGAGCATGATTCAAATAGATATTTTCTATCCAAAATTCTGTGATTCTGTGATGTGCCTGTAATTCTTGATTTATAGCCTTTCATTTGTTACACTCACTTTCAGAAATAATGGAATTTTAATATTTCTGTCTTTTGATCAATGACTGCATAAGAAGTAACAATAGAAGGTGGCAGGAGAGATTTCTGACTATCTTGTTTCTTTACAAGTGCAACAGAATATGGATGCTCAGTGAAAGAACATAGGATAAACTTTTCTTTAAAACATACTCCAAGAACATCTTCTGTTTTTTTTGTGTTGCTTTTTTTTTTTTTTTTAATGATGTGGGAGTTAGAAAACAAAAAAACACATTCCCTGTCCCTTTCATATGTCATATCAACACACAAGAATTTAAGGTTGTCTCTGCAAAATGTCACTGACAAATTGCTTTCATATAGCCCTGCTGCCTTAGCAATAACTTATGAGAGGCAGGTGCTGTTGTTACCTTCCATTTAGAAATATAATGAAAATGATGATGAAACTGAAAAACTGTATGTAAAGTTGCTTAAATTACAACAGGCAGCAATTCCAGAGGTAGTACCAATATCTTGCTTTTTCTTCCTCTAGTAGCAAGCCATTGTAAAGACCTTTGTGTCGGTTAACTTGACTTTCTGACTGCAGGCAGTACATGTGGGTGTGATCTTAGACGCATTAATTTGTAGGAGAAGTGATGTGTTATATTAGGCCAACTGATATAGTTGGAAATATCTTACAGCTTTTGGACACTCAGCCCTCTTTAATGTCACAGACATCTACCTATTCTAATTTGTGCAGAGTGTAGCTATGCCTTGCGGTCTAACCCTTCCCCAGTAAGAGCCAGGGAACATTTTTCCAAGAAAATAGAGTACGAAAGAGGAGGTATTTACAGAGGATGGAGCTGAAGTAGGTGCAGCAGAGTACATATTCCAGGTATTTGGTTGGTTTTTTTTCCCCACACTTCTACTGCTGGCTTGCTGCCTAAAGGATATTTGGAATAGCTGCCTATGCTTCTACTCTGATTTCTACGTACTTACGTTTTTGTTCTTTCTGTTGCTAAGGATGCTTGCTTGAAACCTGTCTGTGCTTCTGCTGCTTTTCAAATAGCTATCTTGGAGAGTAAATATGCTATTTTTTGTGGGGTTTTTTAGTTTATTTTTTTTCTCTATATACCTGTACAGTAACTGTTGAGTCACCACCTGAACCACTGATTGATACTTAAGGAAAAGGAATGAGTCAGCTGTGGGAGCACAGGTGAAGCAAATCACTTGTGTGATGGGAAGGGGTGGAGCCAGGTTCCTAGATCCCATTTAAAGGCTGACTGTTGGGTAGAGTAGAATCTCTTTCCAGAAATCTCTTCTTCTTGGAGTTTTTCACTGTGAGCCTAAATCCTTGGATATGGGTGAGTTTTTTGTTTTCTTTTTGTCTTTTTTACACTGTGGTAGTCTTTCTAGTTTTAACATTTGTGAAGTACCATCCTAACTGCGCTTCTCTTCTAACTTAGATTTGTTGACTGTGCAATACTTCTGTCCTAAGAACTGTGTTGGTTGTTTTTTTGTTTTTTTTTTTTTAGAACTGTGTAACCAACACTAACAGGTTACCTAATTGCTTCACTAAAGCCAGAAGCATGACTCAGGTTTGCAAATTCAGAACCTATTAGCCTTAGGACAGGTTCAAAATGAAGAAAAAAGGGAGTTATCAGCTGTAAAAAATGCTTCTTGGGGCTGGTATTTTGCTGAATATGTTTGAATTCTGACTGAAACATTCTGCGTTGTGTTGAAGAATTTTCATGATCTCCTTCTCAATTGTATCTGCTGCTTGTCAAACAGGAGACCTGACTTTAGGAACAACTTGAGTGTTTGGCTGATAGTTCTACTGTATTATATATTTTCTGTCTTAAATACACGTGCATAATGGCTGCAAGTTGTATCAGAGGAGGTTTAGATTAGACATCAGGAAGAACTTTTTCTCTCAGAGAGTGGTCAGGCACTGGAATGGCTGCCCAGGGAGGTGGTGGAGTTGCCATCCCTGGCAGCGTTCAAGAGGCATCTGGATGACGTGCTGCATGATATGGTTTAGTGCTAGTGGTGGCAGTGGTGATGAGGAGATGGTTGGACTGGATGATCTTGTAGGTCATTTCCAACCTTGTGATTCTATGAATCTTATCCTTGGTTGATATAGCTCCATTCTTTTACTCTGGTTATTTTTGTATAAGTCTAGTGTAGGTCAAAATATTAAAAACCATGGTGTAAATTGGAACACATTTCTGAGGAAGTAAATTTAGGTCAGCATTGCTTTTTGTTCTAGATATTTTTTTTTCTTTTTTTTTTCAGCTTGGGGTGTGGATACTTCATCTTAATAAACCTAACTTGTCCTAGTGCTTTCCTGTGTAGCGCAATCATGAAAGGATATGAAAAATAAAAGAAATTTATCCCAAAATGCTTGCTTGTAGGCATAGTGGTGTATGATAAGTTATCTAGTTCTTTTTGCAACCAATTACTGTATCTTTCAACAAAAAGTGATGGTACGTGATAATGTTTTTATTATTTCGTCTTCGTTATTTTCTTCATATATTCCTGAGTTAAGATTTCTAATGTTTCTCAGAGAGACTTTAGTTCAGGACTGTTTGCAGTTTTGATGTGATGGATAGCTTTCCAGAACATGCAGGAGTATTTTGGATGGCAATTATCTTTCCTTTAGAAAAAAGGGAGGTGGGAATATTGTCTTACTCTGAAATAGACTTTTTTCCTATGTTTTACTCAGTAATGGGACCTTCTATTTCTCTTCAATTTTGCTTTATTATACTCATCTTTCAGTAATCAGGTGTAGGAAAACATTTACAGTAGTCTGTGATTTCTGACTGAATGTTCTGATTAGTAGCTATTACGCTACTTATAAACTGTAATTGTTTTATGTGAGTATGGAGACCATGGTCTATCTGTTATCTAAGCAAAAGATTCTCAGGATCAGAATCTGAATACATGTGCTGTAATTAGCTTCATATTGTATGGAAGCAAAGACAGAATCTTTTTTTATCTTAAGCTACCTGTGATCACTATATCTTGTTTGTGGTATGTTGTCTTGATTTTCATTGGTGGAAAATTCTGCTCAGTGGAAGTATCTATAAGTGTGAGCATCAAGCTCTTGGCCTGCATAATTATTCTTGTGAGCCTAAAGCTAACTGAATTGATACTGGCAGAAAGTGACAAAAAACTAATGGAATATTGGTTATTGCCATTATCACTGATATCCACCTCTAATACTGGAGGCACAGGAGGTGTAACTTTTAGAGCAGCCCTTGTAATTTGAGTGTGCCAGAACTTTACTGATATCTTCTGATGGTGGAGTTACAGCTTCTTAAAGAGGAATGGCAACACTAGAATCATACAATCCTAAAATGGCTTGAATTGCATGAAAGAAGGAAAAGGTACACTTTGAGTCAACCTGTGGTTTCCATAGTCATTTCCATTAAGTGATCCTAGCATTAGAACATTGCCTTCTTCCTAATTTTGTAGTTCTACTTATGATTCTACATTAATTTAACAGTTAATTTATTACCTAGCAAAATCATCCAGTGGACAACAGAGAATATTTCCAAGCTTTGTTTTTCTCTTTAGATGCACAAATTATTCTTTCAGTATAGTATCCTATAACAAGACACTACTGTTAATGTCACTGATTCCAGTTAACTTTCACACAACCTATTGTGTTCAAGCCATACTTTAATTTGCAGTAGTTTGTCTATCGCTTTCAGCAAATAAAACTTTCATCAGATTGCATCTGACTGCTTCAGATGGGGCAAAAAATAGCTACTGAAAACATCTCTCTCTAAAGACAAATTCTAGTGGTGTCATCAGTACATTGTGATCCAACTCTCTCATTTTTAATGATCTTTATCAGCTTTGACAAAGATGGACTCACTTTTATTGAAAGAGAGCTTTATTCCCTTTTTTCCACTCAGTACCTCAACTTGTTGCTATCACAAAAACTGATATCTCTGCCTGTAGAATTCAGTAGCACTGTGTACCAAGAAAAATTTCCTTCTTCTAGGCTGACTGATGCTCTCCTTTCAGACTGATAGCTTTCAAATTTAATTTTGTGGATTATTCCAGTATCTTATTCCATTTGTCTCCCAGTTTGCTAGGTTTTTGTTGGACTATTCATTTGATTAATATTTAAAAATCATAACCATCATCTTCTCTAACTATTAGTGCATGTTACTGTTATCTCTACTTCACATACATAAATATGAAGACAGACATTGGAGGGCAGGAATTGTCATTTATTGACCTCCTTTACCAGATTGCACTTTCAAGACAATGTGGAATAAATACCAGAATAAGTCACCTTTGCTGTTAGAACTGGTGCATTTATAGCTGCAGAAGGGGATTATGGGAGATTTGATTAAGCAAAGTAATGAAGATCTCAACAAGGTTTCTGGCTCCCTTGATTTTATTCTGAATTTCATGATACTTGGCACTACACTGCTGTATTGGCTGCTGAATTGGTAGGTTCTGGTCTGAGAATTTCAGCCACCACTCAGAACACGTGAGCTTCCAGCCTACATGTACAAGGAAAATGTTAAAATATGATGTTACTGTAATAAAGGAGAGCCTCAAGGGCTTTTTGAAATTACTGAAGCCAGTAGCTATTTTGTTACCTTTCATTCAAAGCAGTTTGATTTTTTTTTTTTCCTTGTTGCAATATGTGCAACTAAGTATTAAAGACCAAGAGATCAGAGAGAAACTAACCTCTTCTACCCACGATTATTTTCTTTTTTATAAAAATATGATTTTCAGAATTTTTATGATCTGGCACATAACCTTTGAATGCTATTTCAATTTTATTTAAAGCATAGGCTTTCTATTAGATGAGAATGCTTTAACATTCTGCGAAGCCAGCTCTTTGTAGATTTAAAAATGAATACAGTTACCAAATGTTTACTTCCTCAAATGTTTCTTCTGTAGTAATTTCTCAATGACATGCTTCCTCAAAATGTTTACATCTTCTAAATGAATAGGCATGCTGTTTTTGATGCAGCTGGACTTCAGGCAATACTGCTTCTTATAACAGACCCTAAAGGATTTTTCAAGGACAAAAATCATTATGATTGAGAAGTGTATTTCAAAGTCATTTAGTCCATGAAGTTTAGGAAAGAAGAGGTTTTATTTTGGGACAATGCCTGACCAGGTATATGGTATTGAACCTCTTGACATAGACCCTACAGAGAGGAGTGAAAAATTTGTTGACTGAATACAGAGGGAATATAAGCAAAGCTTTATTTTTCCTGCACTTTAGAACAATTAGTGTTAAATGTCCATATCAAGTTTGAAAGGAGTAAAGAAAAAGAGATTCAAATTGGTGTGTTTGTATTTATATCAGGATTCAGTGGTTTCTCTCTCTAACACTGATGTTGATTTTTCTCTTTGACTCCCTGCATTGTAATATATGTTACTATTATCTTGTGGTTAAAAAGCTTTAGTCCCACTCTTAACTGTGTCTCACTTTCCTGCCTGAGCTAAAGATGCTACTTTGCAGCCCTTGAAGTAACTAAAGAAGTATATAAAAAATTCCCAAGTCTAGTGTAATGCATATACATCTTGAAGTACTTGAAAGACTTTTTTTTTTTTTTTTACCATTGATGTCTAAAACATCAGCACAAATTTAATGAAATATTTAACTGTTTAGAAAATGTTCTTTGAAGTTTTGAATGGTTTGAAAATCCATTGTCTATTAACTTAAAAGTTCTACTTAAAGACTCTTGAGATTGAGTAATAGTGTCTTTTAATATATATATATATTGCATATACTTGTAAGTATTGCATGTGTCATTTGTGTATTATACTGTAATACATTGCATTAACTGTATTGTATATGTAAATAATATAATTGTTAGGTAAGATGTAACTACATGCATCTATTTAAGAACTAGAGGTGGTAGGGGTACAATTAGAACAGAAGAACACAGTTCTAGCCTCAAAAGCTGTACAAGTGGCTATTTCTGTATGTATGATTGTTTGATTTGTTGACATAACAGACTTTCAGCCTCATTCTGAGATCTCACACTTGTTCCTCCTTTTGTGAATGCTCTGGGTCTGTTTTAAAAAAAAAAAAAAAACATTGCTCATGGGTATCATATCTGAGTAAGGAACTCATCCATCTGCTGATAAGCACAGCTGCTTCATAGAAGTGTAGTTATGATGTTGCTACAGTGCTGTAAGCAGTGTAGACAAGAAAAAATTCCACCTGTTACAAAAATCCCTCCACTCCAATGACTTATAGTTATCTAATACCACAGAATAATTTTTCTTCCTCTTGAAGAAAAGTAAGACCAAGAGGAAGAATGAATTCTCACTTCACTAGCATATTGCCTGTTCTATTTTGACAGTCTCATTTGGCAAA